TGGATTTTCAGGTTCCTAACACAGAACACAGACAGTAGTAGTAAACAGAGTAAGATCCATCATCAGTGAGGTAAAAAGCTCAGTTCCCCAAGGTACTATCCTCGCACCTCTGCTGTTTCTCGTCCTCAGAGGAGACAGATAAAAACACCTTTCACACTTTTGTATCATCATTTGCAGACGAAATTAAAATAAGCATGAAAGTTACTATGGTAGAGGACACTGAAAAAGTACAGGAAGACAAGAAGGGTTTTCCAGTGGGCAGTGAAGAACAACATGATGTTCAATGGTGATAAATTCCAGTTGCTAAGGTATGGAAAAAATGAAGAACTCAAAAGGAACTCTGTATACAAAACTCAAGAGAGTCACCAAATACAATGAAAGGAACACGTAAAAGACTTGGGGATGATTGTCAGCTAACCTTTCTTTTTCAAGAATTTAATAAGACAAAGATCACAACAGCCAGGAGGATGATGGGATGGGTATTGAGAATTTTAACCCTTAAACTGTCCAAAGAAATCGACGTTCAAATTCGTAGTGCTACAAAAGTAAATCTACTTTTTTTTACATATTTTCAAATATAACAAAAAAAAAAGTAGATAAAAGTTTTTTTACACGTTTTCAAATGTAGATCTTCTTTTTTGTTTTACATTTTTTTACATACTTTCAGATGTTGAAAAAACATATATATACGTTTGGACCATTTAAGGGTTAAAAACAAGGGAAGTAATGCCAGTGGTGACACTTCAAATCACTAGTGCTCCCTCACTTAGAATATTGCTCAGTGCTGAGGGCCCCTTCAAAGCAGGAGAAATATAAGATTTGGAACAAATACAGAGATTGTTTGTGGCTCACACTGAGGCATTTAAGCATCTAAACTACTGGTAATGCCTTCAAGTCTTAAACATGTACTCATTGAAGTGGAGGAGAGAGAGATACATGATAATATATACCTGGAAAGTACCCCAGGACCTGGTCCCAAATCTACACACTGCTATAACAACATCCTGGAGTGAGAGGTATGGGGGGAAATGCAAAATAAACCCAATGAGGAGCAGGGGTGTGGTGGATAGAGTAAGAGAACACTGTATCAACATTCAGGGTCCCAGACTATTCAACATCTTACCAGAAGTTATCAGAAACACAACTGGAACAAGTGTAGAAGACCTCAAGAGGAAACTGGACAAGTATCTTCAACCAGTGCCAGATAAACCAGGCTGTGATGGATATGTGGGGCAGCGGGCCTCCAGCAGCAACAGCCTGGTTGACCAGGCAAGCACCAGACGAGCCTGGCCCATGGTCAGGCTCCGAGATTAGTGAAACTCTCAAAACTCTTCAAAGGTATATGGAAGGTAAAGTTACAGCGCCCTAAAACGATAAAATGCATATACAGTGGACCCCCGCATAACGATTTTAATCCGTGCAAGAGGGGTAATTGTTATGCGAAATAATCGGTATGTGAATGAATTTTCCCCATAAGAAATAATGGAAATAAAATTAATCCGTGCAAGACACCCAAAAGTATGAAAAAAAAAATTTTTTACCACATGAAATGTTAATTTTAATACACACAAACTGAAAAAGGCATGCACACTTACATGACACTTACTTTTATTGAAAATCTGGTGATGATTGATGGGATGGGAGGAGGGGAGAGAGTGTTAGTGTTTAGAAGGGGAATCCCCTTCCATTAAGACTTGAGGTGTCAAGTCCTTTTCTGGGGTTACTTCCCTTCTTCTTTTAATGCCACTAGGACCAGCTTCAGAGTCACTGGACTTCTTTCGCACAACATATCTGTCCATAGTGGCCTGTACCTCTCGTTCCTTTATGACTTCCCTAAAGTGTTTCACAACATTGTCAGTGTACAGGTTGCCAACACGGCTTGCAATAGCTGTGTGAGGGTGATTTTCATCCATGAAGGTTTGCACTTCAAGCCACTTTGCACAGATTTCTTTAATCTTTGTAGTAGGCAACTTCTTCAATTTCTCTCTCCCCTCCTCTGAACCAGTTTCCTCAGGTCTGGCCTCTTGCTCTTGAAGTTGATCTATCAGCTCATCAGTGGTTAGTTCTTCATTGTCCTCCTCCACCAACTCTTCCACATCCTCCCCACTAACCTCCAACCCCAAGGACTTTCCCAATGCCACAATGGATTCCTCAAGTGGCATAATCCTCTCAGGGTTAGCCTCAAACCCTTCAAAATCCCTTTTGTCTACACATTCTGGCCACAGTTTCTTCCAAGCAGAGTTCAAGGTCTTCTTAGTCACTCCCTCCCAAGCCTTACCTATAAGGTTTACACAATTGAGGATATTAAAGTGCTCTCTCCAAAACTCTCTTAGAGTCAATTGAGTTTCTGAGGTCACTACAAAGCACCTTTCAAACAGAGCTTTTGTGTACAGTTTTTTGAAGTTTGCAATAACCTGCTGGTCCATGGGCTGCAGGAGAGGAGTGGTATTAGGAGGCAAAAACTTCACCTTAATGAAGCTCATGTCCCCATAAAGTCGCTCTGCCACGTCTGTAGGATGACCAGGGGCATTGTCTAACACCAGGAGGCACTTAAGTTCTAATTTCTTTTCAGTTAGGTAATCTTTCACATTGGGGGCAAATGCATGGTGTAACCAGTTATAGAAAAAGTCCCTAGTGACCCATGCCTTACTGTTTGCCCTCCACAGCACACACAAATTATCCTTGAGGACATTCTTTTGCCTGAACGCTCTGGGAGTTTCAGAGTGATACACTAATAAAGGCTTAACTTTGCAATCACCACTAGCATTGGCACACATCAACAAAGTAAGCCTGTCTTTCATAGGCTTATGTCCTGGGAGTGCCTTTTCCTCCTGAGTAATGTAGGTCCTGCTTGGCATTTTCTTCCAAAACAGGCCTGTTTCCTCACAATTAAACACTTGTTCAGGTTTCAGTCCTTCACTGTCTATGTACTCCTTGAATTCATGCACATATTTTTCAGCCGCTTTGTGGTCCGAACTGGCAGCCTCACCATGCCTTATCACACTATGAATGCCACTACGCTTCTTAAATCTCTCAAACCAACCTTTGCTGGCCTTAAATTCACTCACATCATCACTAGTTGCAGGCATTTTTTTAATTAAATCCTCATGCAACTTCCTAGCCTTTTCACATATGATCGCTTGAGAGACGCTATCTCCTGCTAGCTGTTTTTCATTTATCCACACCAATAAGAGTCTCTCAACATCTTCCATCACTTGCGATCTTTGTTTCGAAAACACAGTTAAACCTTTGGCAAGAACAGCTTCCTTGATTGCCTTTCTGGTGCCCACAATAGTAGCGATGGTTGATTGGGGTTTCTTGTACAACCTGACCAGGTCGGCGATACGCACTCCACTTTCATACTTATCAATGATCTCTTTCTTCATTTCTATTGGAATTCTCACCCTTATTGGTGTATGGTTGGCACTAGAAGCTTTCTTGGGGCCCATGGTCACTTATTTTCCAGAAACAGCACCGAAAACACTGTAATAATACGAAATATTCCGATTGTATGCTTGGATGTTACTGCGGAGGCTGGCTGGTAAACAATGGCACGGGCGGCACATGTGAGGCTGGCTGAGGGCGCACATTGGACGCGTCTCGGACGAAAATCGGTGAGCGGGTTTTTAATCGGTATGCGCGGCAAAATTTTTGCGATTAAAGCAAGCGGTATGCGGATTAATCGCTATGTGATGCCATCGTTATGCGGGGGTCCACTGTATATTGTGTTCATTACTTTTTTTTTTTTTTTTTTTCAACAAGTCTTACTCTAGGGTGAGAGGTGAGCATATGAGATAAAACGAAAAAACAAGAGAGAGACAACGAATAAATGGTCTATATTAACGTAATATATGACATTTAATGTGCCTCAGGGCGATTATTATTGCATTTTATTATTATCGTTATTAATATGGCATCTTCAAGAATAATAAGACACTTTTAGTGATTTTAATGTGTACCTGCATGCCAGGACAGCGTGTAAGTTAATTTAGGTACGAGTACACATAAGTATAATTATCAGAGTACAGCCTCTCCTCAACGACGGAGTTCCGTTCCTAAGACCACGTCTGTAAACAAATTTGTCACTAAGTAAGGAGCATACTATAGTGGTGGTAGGTTTGTGTCATTGTTTTAATGTAACCTTTGCACCATTTATAACATTTCTGGTATATTTTTAAATGTTTATACAGTAGTGTACTGTATGTTGTAATAAACAGAATAGAGGAAATCAGGTCTGATATACATAATTTAGGTATGCATACTGGTCAGAGAGTCCATTGTAAGTCCGAGTCTTTGGTAAACAAGTACGTCGCTAAGTGAGGAAAGGTTGTATATATAAAATATGAAATAATTTTAAAACACTTGAAATTTTGGAAAGTTTCCAGATATAATGAAGAGACGTGGTGTTCATGGACAATGTAAAGAAACTGAGTGGCGCTTGGTGACCGTATTAGAAAGTTAGCTGGGGGAGCCATATAGAGAGTTTTGGTCATAATTTGAAATGTCCGTATTAGCGGAACTCCGTAAAATGGGGCCCTACTGTGTGTGTTTTCCCAATAAACCCCATTATATAATTTAAAATTCAGTTGGGAAAATATTTAGACCTAAAATAAGTGTTTACAAATTGTCAACTTGTACCTAACATAGGTCATCATTATCCATTCTTTGGAGAAGGTGCAGCAGATCCTTTTATAATCACTTTTTCCAAATTTTTATTTTTTTTCCCCAGTTTTTTTTTTTTTTCACAGATGGGGGTGTCCCTAAATGGTGTTTTCTCTTAATGTTGAGATGTGTTTCCTGTTTCTATATATCATGTCAGAACCCAGTAGATAACCTTTATCTTACTCTTAGGCTTTTTGTGGCTGTCAGTGTGTTTCAGATGTTCCTCTTAGTTAGCTTCCTTTTCTTCAGTTTAAGTTGGGTCCTTGGGAAGAGCTCCTTGACCCTTTTTTTTTAACTTTCTTTGAATGCATATATTAATGAGCTGTTGTCATTTACAGGAGCTGGTGGAAATGGTGAAAGCCAAGAAAGCTGCTCAAGCTGCTGCTGCTGCCAAGAAATAAAATGGAATTTAGAAAATTTGAAATACAATCTTATTCTCGCATCATTGTGAAATAAACGTAGAAGAAAACCACCATATACGGTATTTAGTAGAGAAAACAAGCAAGTATCACTACTCCAGTCATCTGAAGAGGCCATGTGACTTGGCATAATGTTTGTTTTGCTTTTAACTAGTGGTTGTTTTGTCATTCATTCATTCATACATATAAATACACACAAGATTATCAAAGTAAGAAATAAAAATGATATGCATTAAAGGCAAGGGCCAGGGTATAATAATAACTTTAGTGTTTTCAATATATAACCATGATCAAAAGCTAGGTCATTCAGTTAATCAACTTACGTTCTCTAGGTTTCCCAGCAAACCCAAGAGAAAAACAGGTGTTACATGGTTTTTTAATATCAGAACCTTAGAATAGTAGAACACTGCAAAGCCTGCCAGCCAGGTCCAACTCACCCCTTTCCATCCCCCCCAGCCTCCACTTGTGTACCTGTCCAACCCATATTCAAAGCTACCCAAGGTTCTCGCTTAAGTGACACTACTTGCAAAACCAGTGGTTTCCTGTGTCCTTTCTCAAGCTAAATTTGTCTAATTTGAAGCCATTGTTGCAAGTCCTGTCTTGGTTAGGTATTTTCAGCATATTGTTGATTCTCACTTAAATCATAGCCCCCATAATTCTACGCCTTTCCAGAAAGTGCAAATTCAGTGCTTTTTGTCTGTTTTGATGGTAAATATATCTGATACATGGGATCACCTTTATCATTCTCTGTGTTTCCTAGCACATTCATGTTTATTTTGTAGTAAGGAAATAAGAAATGGGCAGCATATACTGAATGAGGCCTTACTAAGGATACATGAAGTGTATCCTGAGAACGTTTCTTATTAATTTATTTTTATTTTATTAACACACTGGCCGATTCCCACCAAGGCAGGGTGGCCCAAAAAAAGAAAAACTTCGTATTAATATCTCTTTAAATTTATACTAACCAAAACCCCTAGGCCATTCTTGCCTTCAGTTTAAAGCCTATATTACGTTGTTCATACGAGCCATTATTTTTTATTTGGATTATTATTATAATAACAACTTAGTGCTAAACCCACAAGGATCTTTATTAGGATTAGAACCTTACATTTGTCCAGATTCATTATTATTATTATAATCATAACTATAACTAAGTACTAAACTGTCCAGATTAAGTTGCATCTGCCATTTCTCCAACCACCACATCCTCTCCAGATAATCCCATCTCTGTCCTCATCAGAATTTGTCAGCCTAGTTTAGTGCCTTTGTTGAATATACTTATGATAAATCCTTGGTATTGGATGCTGACAAGAGGTTATGACAAGTTAACAAACACTAGGATATGTTTAGAAAACATTTTGGTCCTGGAAAAAAACATTTACTAAAAATGTTTGTCTTTAGTGTTTTTCATATGTCTCTTAAAAACTTGCCACATGGCACCATTTATCCGTCTTGGCACCTGATTTTTCTCCTAAATTCTCTGGATTTCCTATCTAACGCTAGCCGATCGTTGAATGATCTAGCATCTCATGGTTTTATACCAGAATTGCTGAAGCTATCTTTATATCTCTTTGTGTCATGCATATGTATTGTATACACATACTTATGCAAAAATCGTAAACAAACGATGCAAAGTGCAAAACAACCATGTGGGGAGTAGAAAATTTGCTCTAGGCCTTTCCTGTTGCAATCAACACATCAGGAGTTTGCAGTCTTACAGAAATGAGTAGTAAGTCCAGGTAGATGCATTCATGGAAAAATACTTAGAATGAGATGGCATCAGGCAAACCAGTGTCAGGTACCAGAAAGATGATGGTAAGATATTGAAAACAGTAGCAGTAGAGGCATGTAGAAGCCCATCAACATTAAATATTTAGTAATGACCTATCAACCACAACATTAGTGACATGACAACAATCACACTATCATGCCATCAGACTTCATATCATATCATATATCATATATATATTATAAAAGCCTTTAATATTTCTAATCTCAAAGGTATCTGGCATCTCTCAGTTGGGGAAATTCTGTCACATGCAAAGAAAATGGGGAAGCAGCAAAAAGGGGATATGAAGTCTGATGGCATGTTTATGTGATAGTTGTGTCACTAATGTTGTGGCTGCTAGATCATTACTAAATATTTAATGTTGATTGGTTTCTATATGCCTCTTCTGCTAATGTTTTTAATACCTTGCCTTCATCTTTCATCTTTCTGGCACTTGACACTGGTTTGCCTGATGCCATCTCATTGTAGCTAGAGTTGCTCCCTTGAATACATCCACCTAGACTTCCTACTCATTTCTGCAACATTGCAAGCTCCTGATGTGTGGTTGCAACATGAAAGGCCTAGAGCTATATTTCAACTCTACCTGTGGTGGTTTTGCAAATATACTTATGCATGCATGGATGCATACATACATATACATAGAATGGTATACAGAAACTTGTACATTCAGCAGTGACAGCTGTATTGGTTATGTAAATGTATATAAAATGTATTTGCTAAAGAATTTAGAATACATGTATATTAAATTTCTTCCATCAAGATGATTGTTGTCTTTAGTTTCTTAAGATCCTGTATCTCTGTGAAGATATTGATAACCTGACATTGTCCTTTTAAGTGTGTGTCTTGTATAGAGGCTGTTTAAATGAGCGTATAGGAATGTTTTCACGTCAGCTCATATATAAGTCAGGTACTGTACATAACATGCTGCAGTCAGTGTTGTAAATGACTGTGGGGTGCAAACATTGTTCTCAAATTCTCAACTTGGAGCTTTCCTTCTTCTCCTCCTCCTCCTCCCTCCTCCCCCTCCTCCTTATTCTAAGATCAAGCCTGACTACTGCCCATTTCCAAGGCACTGTATGATCCTGTCAGTTTGGTTTTTATCCCTGATGATACTGCAATGTTAATCTGTGTTTACAAATTCTCAATTAAGATAATGATCTCTGTATTTCTGCAAGAATAGCTTACATTTCAGATTGAAGTAATTATTAAATTGAAAATTTATTCTAATATGATTATTCCAGGCATGAAGCACTGGGAAACAAAATATGCTGCATAAATTTTTATCTGGGATTTTCTCATTCCTACACACTTACTTACCATTTCTCATAAAGTTACTAAAGCAATCAAATGGTTTTAAAGTTCATATCAGAAGTGAAGGTATAGCACTATCAGTATGTAAGAGCTTAAGAAAATTTTCATCCAACAAAGGTTTGCAGTAATGTACAGGAAGGCCCTGCATATACAGCATCATCTTTCCAGTCTTCCACGTTTTCATTGGCATTCAAGTTGAGCCATTGTTCATTATGTTCCATTTGCTAGTGGGTGGAACATAATGAACAGCGATTCAATTTGAAGTCAGTGAAAATGTGGAACACCGAAAACAGGTCCTGTACATGCAGGGCCTTCCTGTAATTCTTTTTCAGGAGAAATACATTTAACAAAGTACGAATGTCTAAGCTGTTGAAATGGAATTTTGACAAAAATAGTTTCTGCAACATTTCAAGCTAATGGTTCAGGTTTTCACCTTTATTTCTTGAGAAAATTTTATACTCATTCATTAGTGTGAATCTGATTCACGTTTCCTATTTTAAAAAATGAGTCACAAAAATCTGTGAAGACTAGCATTTCCACACAAGACAAAAGAATACAAAGTAGAAAGAGTACAACAACATGCAAGGGAAACAGTGTTTGTTTTACTCATAAAGAGTTCTTATCAAGCACACACAACTTATCTCAAAAAACACACAGCATACAAAAAGTGAGGTCAGGGTAAGCAACCCAGGTAACACAACACGAGAGCATTTCACTCTGCTTACTGGCTAGTGTTAGTTCAGGTTGTATTTTTGGACCTATTTACCCTAACCTCTTACACTGTATGTTATTCAAGATGTATCTTGTGGCATGTTCTTGTGTATGTGATGAAGCTCCTTTGTGGGTGAAACACTGTACATTAAAGGTTTCTCTGCTTGTCTTATTCTTTCCATTTGTCAGCTTCTTGACTACAATATACCAGCAAAAAATATAAATTGTAGGTTTTACTGTAAAAATATTTTAAAGCCATGTTTTCTTATAGTAAGAAAATGTGTGATGCATATCTTGTATATTGTGAATAACTTATGGTAAGTTAGAAATTTTGTCTGATACAGAAAGTTTTCCCAAGTGCTGCTTCAGAATCAGAACAAGTCAATTTCTCTAGCATAGGCTAAATTTTTGAATATTCTTTCCTCCAGTAACTTTTATTAAGCCTCTGAATTTATCTTCACACATTTTGTTTGAATTCAGTGACAGTATTATTGTATGTACTGTAGTTTATTAGCTATTCCTGCAAAATTGGATACCTAAAGATTCATTGAGATTTTTTTTTGGTACAGTTGAGGTTACCATTCAATAATGAAGAAATGCCTACTTTCATTGACCTTAAAATTTCAGACTTTTATGTTATAGTAAGAGAAAGAATGGTATTGTTAATAGGCTGGGTAGTATCTCCAGTCCTAACCATGTGGTGAAACTTTGTTTTTTAAATGAGCTAGAAACTTAGCTCTGGTAGGCCAACAAATGGTTAATGGATCATCTGGTGAAGGCTTATGTCAGGAAACGCTTGTCCTCTTTCCTGATGAACAAAACGCCACCATGATTGGCTTGTTTGGGAATTATTTTTTTGATGGCATTCAGGAGGAGCAACAATTTCTGCAGGCAAAGCTCCAACAAACTTACATTTTTTGTGCCACGTAATGTTTGAATCTCTTTTCAATACGAGTCTGCAGAATATTTTAAGTTAACCATTTTTTTTATGTACATATTTCAACTAGAACAGTTTTGTTAATTGCTAATAATTTGTGATATTGAGATCATTGGATTGTGTCCAGTGAACCCTCAGATAAAAATGACCTTATGTAGTTAAAAATGTTTTGTGGAAGTTAGTTATTTACTAACTTCTTTAGTCCCCTGAACTCTATGCACTCCCTCATACCTTATGCTCTCAATATCCATCCTACACTCATCTCACACACGTCCCATCTCTTATACCTATTTCCCTCCACACCCTTCTCACATTATACTCTTCTGCATTCTTACATGTCATTCTCATGATTTTAGATGAACATCCACTTCACTAAGGAAAACTGAGAGGAGGGTGAGGCATACAAACAGTTCTATAAAGACTTGTTACCATAAGCATTTCTTGTGATACACTGGGATAGGGGCTGAGGATACTTCGTTTGATCAGACTGCTGGCAAAATATACAGGTGTCCCTCAACATTCGCGAGGGTTAGGGGATCAAGAGCCTCGCGAATGTTGAAAAACCGTGAATGTTTGGTGCCCCAATATATTGTAGGGAAATATAATACAATACTGCTTAACTTGTTGAACCATGAACAATCATAAAATACATGAAAACGTCGTAAGTTGTACTAAATATATCCGTGTTATGCTTTAATAACATGTATGTTATTAAATACCACAGACTCCACCACTGCCTCCACCACTTCCTCAACCAATGCCAGTCCCTACTCCCTCCCTCCGACCCCCGCAACTGGCAGCCAGCCCTCCCACCACTCAGTGTGGTGAGTGTTTTGTTTGTTCATTATTTGCAATTAAACTACAGTATAAATAATGTAAACACATTCATGACTGCATATTGGAATGGCTATTTGGACAGGTATTGGATGGTGACATCATATGTTTACTCTTGAGCACAGCAAAGAATCAAACATTTCTGCTACTGCTAATAACAACAGTAGTAATAATAATAATAATAATAATACGATATAATTGAAGAAGGAAATTGTACAAAAATACGAGGGAGTGGTTGACACATCTTCAGTGTGGCTTTGTTTATGCTGGAGTGAACATTAGTCTCCCTGCTCTTCCAAACATTTCACAATAATTCAGCGGTTGAGGCAGTGGTAGAGGCAGTGGTAGAGGCAGTGGTAGAGGCAGTGGTAGAGGCAGTGGTAGAGGCAGTGGTAGAGGCAGTGGTAGAGGCAGTGGTAGAGGCAGTGGTAGAGGCAGTGGTAGAGGCAGTGATAGAGGCAGTGGTAGAGGCAGTGGTAGAGGCAGTGGTAGAGGCAGTGGTAGAGGCAGTGGGTGAGGCAGTGGTATTTACTAACATATACGTATGTTATAAATAATAATAGCACATGTTAATATTAATAACATTTATAATAATAATAATAAATGTTATTCATAATGTACTATTATTATTTATTTCATATATGTTAGTAAATATCACTGCCTCTATCGCTGCCTCTACCACTGCCTCTACCACTGCCTCTACCACTGCCTCTACCACTGCCTCTATCACTGCCTCTATCACTGCTTCTATCACTGCCTCTATCACTGCCTCTACCACTGCCTCTACCACTGCCTCTACCACTGCCTCTACCACTGCCTCTACCACTGCCTCTACCACTGCCTCTATCACTGCCTCTACCACTGCCTCTACCACTGCCTCTATCACTGCCTCTACCACTGCCTCTATCACTGCCTCTATCACCTCTACCACTGCCTCTATCACCTCTACCACTGCCTCAACCACTCCAGTCACACTCAATCTACAAGCACCAAACAATGAATTATTGTGAAATGTTTGGAAGAGCAGGGAGACTAATGTTCACTCCAGCATAAACAAAGCCACACTGACGACGTGTCAACCACTCCCTCGTATTTTTGTACAATTTCCTTCTTCAATTATATCGTATTATTATTATTATTATTATTATTATTATTATTATTATTATTATTATTACTATTGTTGTTATTAGCAGTAGCAGAAATGTTTGATTCTTTGCTGTGTTCAAGAGTAAACATATGATGTCACCGTCCAATACCTGTCCAAATAGCCATTCCAATATACAGTCATGAATGTGTTTACATTATTTATACTGTAGTTTAATAGCAAATAATGAACAAACAAAACACTCACCACACTGAGTGGTGGGAGGGCTGGCTGCCAGTTGCGGGGGTCGGTGGGAGGGTAGTAGGGACTCGCAGGTGGCGGGAAACTTGAATATGATTTGGTGGCTGGGAATTTGGTGGCTGGGAATTTGGCGGCTGGGAATTCGCGAATGTGTGAAGCCCGCGAAAGCTGAAAACGTGAATGTTGAGGGAGACCTGTATATAGACGTTGTTTAACAAGAATTCAAAGGTCCAACACTGTTTATGGAATCCTACTTGTCTTATGTCGACTGCAGAAGCCATCACCTGGCTCCAGACTGGTCTTTTTTTTTTTGATGACCTGATCAGTCGAGTTGTTGCTACCAGCATGCAGTCCAAAGTAGGCACCACAGCCTGGATTATCAAGACTGGCTTCAGTAACTTGACTTTTAGAATATTAGCAGGGTGGTACACAAAGCAATACCAGTTTATAATTAATGCCTGAATGTAAAGCATTTATAATAGAGGAAATTAATTTAAAGTCAGTGTTAAAACATTGTTGTTGTGGCAGAGAGCTTCATGTATAACAACGTGCTGAGGAAGAGTACATACTGGCAGTGGAAAATTGCTTTTTCTCAGGACATTATCCAGCTGTGATTATGACCTTTAAAAATAATGCAGAAATATAATTGTGCTTTCATTACTTACAAAAATCTGATTTTAGTAATCCTTTACATAATAAAACCATAAACCTGATATCGTAGTTTGCCATTATTGTACCTCTTATTTGACTCAATTTTCAAAATTTTATGATTGTAAAATTTTATTGTGTTTTGGGTACAGTGCACTATTGTATATTGGAGGATGTGTTGTTTTAAGGGACTAATTTTTTATATAAAAATTTGTGAATATGGTATTACATTTACAGGCTGTGGAGATGTCATCTTTGAGAGCAGTGTTTAGTGTGAATATCATGATAATTCAAAGCATAGAAATTAAAAGGTGATGAGGTGACCAAGCATGTAATTGAGAGAGCTGAGGAGGGTTTTTTGAAGTGGTTTGGGCAAGGACAAGAACAGGTTAAAGAGGGTGTTTATTATTATTAATATTGCTGTATGACCCACATGGGTCATATAGCAAAGAGGGTGTATAAATCTGGGGTGAAAGGTAGCAAGGGGGAGGGGGTACAAGAGGTTTTAGGGGCTTGAGCATCCAGCAGGCTTTGTGTGCGCATGCTATATAAGAATGAATGGAGATGCATGGATTTTAATGGACAAACTGTTGGAGCATGAGTACGTTAACTTTTATGAAGGGATGCAAGGAAACTTAGGAGGGGTGTGGATGTAGCAGTTAGGAAGGTCATCCGAGCTGTTATGTCAGCACACTTCTGGGAAGACAGTGAGTGAATAAGGGTGAAAGTTTTTCCTTCATTTTTGTCTACCTACCTCAGTGTGAGACAGCTGGTTTGCTTAAAAAGTTCATGCATTGCAGAAAATATATGATGATTAATGCAATATGATGTTCATTCTCCCAGTCTGACTCTTGTAGCTTACTCATGTGATGATGCATTAATCATCCTTGGCTCTTTACAGAGATGCATCTCTTGCTCTTTCTCTGGTGCTCTGAGAGGCTCTCCAGTGGTGGCTAGTTCTGGCCACCACATAGGATGATGTAGAATGACTAAATTAATACATAGCATTAGAAATCTTCCTTATGAAGAAAGATTGAAGACCCTGAAATTACATTCACTTGTTAGACGAAGAATGAGGGGAGACATGACCGAAGTGTATAAGTGGAAGATGGGCATTAATAAAGGGGATATAAATAAAGAATTAAGAGTAAGATGGAGAAT